CAACCAGGCAACTAGTAACATGGCAAATAATAACCTGGCCACCAGTTACCTGGTAACCAGTTTCCCAGTAACCAGGCAACAAGTTACCTGCTAACCGTGTAACTAGTAAGCAGTAACATGTACCCTGGTAACTAGTAACCAGTAACTTATGACTAATAACCTTAGTGAAGGAGGCCTGTCACATCTTGCATGCCCTGTTGGTGGATTATGGTGGCCTCTCACAAGGACACTGCTTCTCACACTACTCCAGTACCTTGCTGTATGGACTGGCTTCCTCCATAATGGCGGCCTCCACGGTACCCACTGTCGTAATCGTAGCAGACTCCAGGTTACTGGCTACCTCAAGGACAGCGGCCTCCAACGTAATGGCTGCCTTAGGAAAGGCCACCTGCCCCGTACTGGCTGCCTGATCTGCGGAGGCCTCCGCTGTACGGATGGTATCGATAATGGCAATTTCTCTCGAGGACGCTGCAGCCTCACCCTACTCCGGCACCTCTCTGTGAAGACAGGCTGCCTCGATAATATTGGCTTCTAGGTTTCGAAGGGATTCACGATGTCAGTGCAGCAGCCGAGGCCTCCCTTTGCAGGGCTGGAGCGGGAAGAGGTGAAGAACACACAACTGTGACTCTGGTCCTTCCAGGGATGGAATGATTGCCGCCCTGGCCAGCCTCGCTGATCTTGTGACCATGTTTTCCTGGGTAGAATTTTTAGTCGGGTTCACAGGGCTTTAGCTGGGATTTGAGCACCAGGGACAGAGGCACAGTGTGTTATTCCTTGAATTGCCACAGGAGGGCAGCAGAGGATAGTTTTTGGCCTGACAGCTTCCTTTGAAGGTCCCGTGTGATAAGTATACAGTTCCATAGACAGACGTGTACAGTATAAACAGTAACTTGAAGGAAAATGAAAGCGTTTATCCTATAAAACCAGTGTATAAATATGCTCTATGATTACATTATGATAAATAACAAAATAAGGAGTCCTTACTCAGCACATTTCTACAAGATTATTTTATCTTTCATTCTCAAAGAAACAGGCATAGGTATCAAGCAGAAGCCCTTAAGTTACCTGAACACGGTTCAAACTGGCTGTGCTGCAACATCAAACTATTAATTTGAATATTTTAATCAGAAAAAAATTATTTAAAACTAATTTACTAACATTAAAAAAAAGGGCTCAGTAATAATAACTCTAATAGCACAGAAGTAACTTAAAAAAAAATATGGAGTAATGAGCTGGGACCGGTTTGGCTCAATGGATAGAGCGTCGGCTTGGGGACTGAAGGATCCCGGGTTCAATTCCGGTCAAGGGCATGTACCTTGGTTGCGGGCATATCCCCAGTAGGGGGTGTGCAAGAGGCAGCTGATCGATGACTCTCTCTCATCGATGTTTCTAACTCTGTATCTCTCTCCCTTCCTCTCTGTAAAAAATCAATAAAATATATTTTAAAAAAAATTTATATTTTTAAAAGTGAGTAGACAGAGCCTGAGGGGAAGGGAATGGGGCGCAGCCTGCCCAGTGGATCTTGCCGAGGGACTGGCCTGGGTGCATGCCCCGCAGTGGCAGCGGCGGAGCACTGCTCCCCAGGGAGCAAGGCGGCCCCTGGTTCCTGCACACCGTCTGGCATGAGGCATCCCTGGTCTCCGGCCCTCCAGCCGCCGTCCTTAGGGCCCTCAGGATGGTCAAGGCCATATCAACCGCATGTTCCACCAGAACCTGCAGGACCTGATGCATGGCATCCACGACCACAGGGAGGACAAGCCCACAATGACACTGGAGCCTCCCCCGAGACATGCCTCTCCTTTGGCCTCCATCGTCCACAGCCAGGAGCACAGCCTCATCTATCTGTCAGATTCTAGCCCCACTGCCTCCCCTTATAAGGGCCTCAGTAATCACATTGGGAACTGTGGGATATCCAGGGTGCTCCCCTATCGGGGGATAGAAGAAGCTTACATGTTCTCCCTGGAGCTTCTGGAAGGACCTGTCTTCTGACAGCAGCTGCAGGACACTTTCAGTCTCACCTCCTACCCTCAATCAGCTACAAACAGCCACTGCTCCTTTAGCCTAAGCCTCTGAAGTGTTGCAGTCATACATGCTGCTCCCGGACACAGCCCTTCAACCCTCTGAAACGCATTAGCGTCCAACTGCTCTTCTGCCAGCATCTTGCTCACTAGCAACCTTGAACAGCACCAGCCCTGGGTTGTCCCCACTGGGGCTGAAAAAGTCCACAACACCACTTAGGTAATAAGGCATCGAGATGTAACTGAAGCACAGGCATATGAGACAGATGTGAGATAGACTGATGGGGTAATCACTAAGTGAGGGGTGTAAATGTTCAATCACAGTGTTGTACAGGGGAAAGTAATGTATTACTATATGCCAATTAGACTTAAAAATAAATTCAGAATAAGAACAAAAGTGCATGTAATTCGTAGCTAGTGTTGCTCACTGGTTAGAGCATTTGCTTGCCAGACACACACTCACCACTCCAATTAACAACGGCACCAGCGAACATATTAGGCAGAGTGGGTGGGAGGGTCACCGTAAGTGGAACCTCAGTGCAGCGGTCTATGGGGGCCACCCTTTGCGGAGCCGAGGCGGGAAGAGGTAAGAACACAGAGCTGTGACTAGAGAATGATCGCTGCCTTGGACGTTCTCGAGGATTTTGTGGGGGTGTTTTTTCTGGGTAGAAATTTTGGTCGTGTTCACGGGGCTGTATCTGGGATTTCAGCACCACGGACAGAGGCGCCGCGTCTTATTCCTTGAATGAACACAGGAGGGCAGCAGAGGATTGTTTTTGCGCTGGAATTGGCTTACAGTGTCCCTTAAGGGCTAACATAGTAAATACAGATTCTTTTATAATATTAAGAAAAAATTGTGTTTACAGCTAATTTATTAGGAGAAAAAGTACTCAATCTTAACCTAATGTCACTGGAGTAACTTGAAAAAATATGAAGCAATATTGGAATTTACTAAGATTTGGCTCTGATTGGCCAGGTCCTATTCCAGTCAGCGTCAGCAGCTCTGCCTCCTAGGAGCCATTGGTACCCCACAGCAACCAACTTTGGCTCTGATTGGTTGGTCCCTATGCCAGTCAGCATCTCCAGGCCTATCACTGGGCCTGATCAGAGGCTGGGTTTAACAGCAGCCCCCAAGTAGGATAGGAGAGAGAGAAAAGCCTGGCTATTGTCAGAGATCAGAAAGAAAGAGGGAGAGAAAGCGAGAGGTAAGTGCACCGATCAACAGCTTCCACTGAGGCTGCAGATCGGACCCTGAATCACTTTCTGGGTCTCAGCCACCTGAGCAGTCAGTGTTGGGTTGCCAGGCTGCAGCTGGGCAACCCAGCGTTGACTTCTGGATAGTCTGCATTTGGTCCCAGGCTCCGCCCCTTCGCAAGCCCCAGGCTTTAAGATTGGGAAGTGTCCTACCACTCCGATGACAGGCCTGGGCCCTCCGATGGCCGGCTGGGAGTGACCTGGGTGCCAAGGAGGTGCCTGGGACTTAGTTATATATGCAAAATAACCTCCATCTTTGTTTGGCTAACTTGCATACTAACTCTGAGTGGCTATGGGTGTAGAAAAGGTACAGTCGATTTACATGTTTATTATTAGGTAAGATTTTAAAAATCAAACACTGGTGGTTTCAGGGAATGAAAAACGTGAGGGGTGCCGAAACCGATTTGGCTCAGTGGATAGAGCATCAGCCTGCAGACTGAAGGGTCCCAGGTTTGATTCTGGTCAAGAGTATATACCTTGGTTGCAGCCACATCCCCAGTAGGGGGCGTGCAAGAGGCAGCTGGTCGATGATTCTCTCTCATCGATGTTTCTCTCTCTCTCCCTTCCTCTCTGTAAAAAATCAATAAAATATATATATATGAAAACATGAGGGGTGTGAATGAATGTCTGGGTGGAAGGTTCTGGCCATGAGGGGGGGTGGATGGGCCCCAGGATAACAGGATGGAGTGGAGGAGGCGGCGAGGGCCCGCGGCTGTGGTGGCTGAGCTCAGGGAGCTCCCAGAGTCTAGTGCTGGATTCCACACACCCAGGATCCCAGCGGCCCTCATTCACTCCATCCTACTGGCAATGCCTCAGGACTGCCTGCTGTTCCCATCTCCACGGTATCCCCTGAGCACCAGGGGCACACACTACCTTTGTTCCTTGCTATAACACAGTCTGTTCAGCACACATCACCAGGCATTATAGAGAAGGTGAGGCTCTTAGGACGACTCCTGGAGGTGACAGTCCTGAGTGTCAGCGTCACCGGTGCCAAGGGGGTAACTGTCGCCAGGAGGTGCGCCACACAGAGGGCGCCTGGGGCCGTGTGCTTGTGTCCGGCCACTGCCACACCTGGGGCAGCTCCTGCTCCCACAACAGCACCATGTGGTCAGGACAGATGGCAGAGATGTCCCCGTGACCCTGCGTGTGACAAGGAGACCCACGACACCACATGATACTGTGCAATGCTGGTCAGGGACCGACAGCCACAGCGGCAGACAGCGCTCAGGGGGAACACACACGAGGTGTACAGAGCATGAAACTTTCATTTAATGGAACAGAACATGTGGCAAACACAACAGATTACAACCTAAGAATGAACGGCACCCGCCACCTGCTGGGACAGCACACGCCGCTGGGAGAAGCTCCACAGGCACGGAAGTGCTGGCCCACTCACACAATCCACGTCAGCTGGGCACAGGGCGCACGGCGGGTGGGTGGCCGGCAGGGGGACAGTCTCCTGCCCACGGCTGCTCGGGGGTGGCTCTGACATCTGCCGTGGTTTGAGTGGACTTGGGATCATTGAACATTTCTCAAACGCTTCCTCCAACATCGGGAACTGCCAAACAACAGGGCAAACAGGGCGCGGGCCGGGGGCGCACACGCCGCCCAGCGGAGCCCCAGGGAAGGCGGAGCCTCTCTTCTCATCGGGATGAGGCTCTGGAACTTGAACGGTCGAATGTCCACAGCTGTCTCCCCTGGGATGCAGGCCTGGCTCCCGGGGGCGGCTCAGCCCAGGTTGCCCCCCGCGAGCTCCAGGAGCATGCTGGCCACCCAGAAGGCGTCGCCAGAGGCCTGACGGTCGGGCCACGGCACCTGGAAAGCAGACACAGCACTGCACACACAGGCACCCCGGCCCGGCTCCCCCACCTCATCATTGGCCGACGTTCTCCCTCCAAAGGCAGGTGTGAGTCCAGGAGGGAGGAAGGACACACGGTGCCCCTAGGAGAGCTCACCTGGCTGGACGGCAGGGGCTCGATCAGCTGTCCAGCGGGCACAGGCCCCGGAAAGGCCGATGGGGCAGGAGCCAGCTCAGGGGCGCTGGAGGAGAGGCCATGTCAGAAAAGGGCTGGTCTCCCGTGGGCGCCGAGCCTCCCTCCAACACCATGGGGAACATGCCTGAGGGTGTCTGCCCCTTTGGAGCCCCCCAGGTGCCAGACCCCCAGACCCATTTCCTCCGAGAGCCCTGGGGGCACAGCACACAGCAGGGCCTGTGGGACGTGACAAGCACACGGGTCGGTGGGGAGTGCCCCAGAGCGGCTCACAGAAGATAGGAGCAGGAGAAGGTCCCTTAGAGGGGATAGGCTGGGGGGAGGAAGACAGAGCACATTACACCCAACGAGGGAGCAGAGGGATGTCGGGGATGGTGGCGGTGCGGCTCCCAGGAGACCTGCTGGCATGTCCCTTAAGGCAATCGCACACGTCTGTCCCGAACTCCGTGTCACTATGGAAACGGCCAAGGTCCTCCCACCATCTGACGTGGGATTGCCCCCCTCCTCTCGTGTCCCCCAAACATTCTGTCCTCGCTCGGCACCTGGCCTTCAGGGACAGGTTAGTGAGACACAAACTCTGGGGCCCCAGTCCTGGGGGTCCTTCTCAGAAATTCCATCCAGCCCCCCCTCCCCCCAGCACATTCATCCGTCCCTCCTGTGTGCCGGCTCCTGGACCCTTTTCCCTGCCCCACAGCCATGCCATGGGACCTAGGCTGCCAAGGCCTTTAAAACTTCACTCTGGCAGAAACCGGTGTGGCTCAGTGGTAGAGCATCAGTCTGCGGACTGAAAGGTCTCAGGTTCGATTACGGTCAAGGGCATGTACATTGGTTGCAGGCACGTCCTCGGTAGGGGCCGTGAGCTGGTCGATGTTTCTCTCTCATCGACATTTCTAATTCTCTATCTCTCTCCCTTCCTCTCTGTAAAAAATCAATATAATATATTTTAAAAGAAAATTCACTCTGGAATGAAACCAGGATCTCTATGAGGCTCAGAAATCCTGACAGTCTTTAGCTAGGAAAGAAAATGCCAGAAAGAGGCTGCTGGGCGCCAGGGAATCTCAGGCCTAAACACCGTCCACAGCACAGATGTCATATCCATTCGTGTTCCCAGGAGTCCTGTCTGGGCGCAAACCACCCTCTTCTCTTTGGAGACACAGGCCAGGGGACAGCTGTGGTTTCCAGAAACTGTGAGCAAAGGACTTCAGCACAAGCTGAGCCAGCGCTGTGAGCCGGGCTCCGGCCTTACCTCTGGGGCAGGACCAGCTCCGGAGCATGTGGTGGGAGCGGAGTCACCAGTAAGCTGCCCGCCTGTCCTGCATGGCTGACGCTGGTGCCAGGACCCTCCTCCAGGAATGTGCTCTGGGGGTGGCTGCTGGGCGGGTCAGGGAACCCTGCATGAAGGAAAGGCCACTACCCACTAAAACCTGATTGCCCCCAACTGCCCTCTCCTACAGGCCTGGTCACCTCTAACTGTACTCCCCTGCAGGCCTGGTCCCCCCTAACTGCCCTCTCCTGCAGTCCTGGTTCCCCTCTAACTGCTCTCCCTTGCAGGCTTGGTTACCCCAAACTGCCCTTTCCTCCTGGCTTGATTGCCCAGAACGGCCCTCCTCTGCTGGCCTGATCGCTCACAATTTCTCTCTCCTGCCAACCATCTTGTTGTCCACATGAGGGCAGCCATCTTTTTTACGACATGGGGGCGGCCATCTTGTATGTTGGAATAACAAGTAAATTTGCATATTACCTCTTTATTATATAGGATATACACTGAGTGACCAGACGATGATGATCTTTAAACACATAATAATCTGGCCACTCAGCCGAAACCGGTTTGGCTCAATGGATAGAGCATCGGCTTGGGGACTGAAGGGTCCCGGGTTCGATTCCGGTCAAGGGCACAACCTTGGTTGTGGGCACATCCCCAGTAGGGGGTGTGCAAGGGGCAGCTGATCTATGTTTCTCTTTCATCAATGTTTCTAACTATCTCCCTCCCTCTCTGTACAAAATCAATAAAATATATATTTAAAAAAATAATAATAATCTGGCCACTCAGTATCTATCCTACAGAATAAAAGGATAGTATGCAAATTGTCCCCTCAACCTGAGGTTTACTGTTTCTGGGTCTGATCAAACACAGGGTTCAGCCGGAAGCCCTGATGCCTCCCATACCCCCACCCCGGGAGCCTCCCAGGGCTGCAACCTCTGGTGCAGACACTCCTGGTCCCAGTGGAGTAGACTCACCGGTGGAGCTGGGCTCGGCGAGCGTAGCGATAGACATGGACAGAGAGGCGTCTGAAGGGGGCATCCAGAAGCGCAGCCCGTGGCCGGGCACCAGCGGTGCGGTCGGAGCGGAGGCGTCCCCGGGGGGTGCCAGTGTGAGGGACACCAGCCACGGTTCAGGGGCGGTGGGAGGGTCCAGGAAGTCGCTGCAGGCAGCCAGCCCCCCGAGGCCAGGGTCAGGGCAGGTGGCGGGGAGAGTGGACGAGTTGCGGCCAGGTCCCTCCGGGTACATCTCGCCGTCCTGCAGGGAGCTGGGAAACCCACCAACACTGTCCCTCGGTGGACAGGGGCTTGCTCCAGCAGGGACAGTCCCTGAGAGCAGGGGCCACCACTCCCCGATCCTGCTGCCTTCACTGCTCGCCCTGTGGTTGCGGATGCTCTACAGACACTTAGGAGAAAGTATGACGGGAAACCCAAGGTAGAAACGCTCGCAGTTCCTTCTAAGGCCTCTGGGAGGCACTCTCCCATGGCACTGAAAGCCAGACATGGTTAGAAAGGGCCAAGATGGAGACTGAATAAACAAGGGTTGGTCTCAAAGGAACACCAGGCAGCAGGGGACAATGATGTAGAGAAATAAGGATCCAGCTGAAACTGGTATAGCTCAGTAGATAGAGCATCGGTCTGTGGACTGAAGAGTCCAAGGTTCAATTCCAGTCAAGGGCATGTACCTTGATTGCGAGCACATCCCCAGTGGCGGGTGTGCAGGAGGCAACTGGTTGATGTTTCTCTTGCATCAATGTTTGTATCTCCCTCTCTCTCTCTGTAAAAAATCAATAAAGTATATTAAAAAAAAAAAAAACCCAAAAAACTAATTAATGATCCAGCTGAAATCAGTGTGGCTCAGTGCATAGAGCCTCGGCCTGGGGACTGAAGGATTCCACGTTCGATTCCAGTCAAGAGTATGTACCTTGGTTGCGGGCACATTCCCAGTGGGGGGCGTGCAGGAGGCAGCTGATCGATGTTTCTCTCTCATCGATTTTTCAGACTCTCTATCCCTCTGCCTTGCTCTCTGTAAAAACTTATATACTATATATATATATATATATATATATATATATATATATATATATATATATATAAAGAATTAAGATCCACAAATGCTCAGTGTCCAGTTGGTGCTCCTGGAACCATTGCAACCACCACAGGACGGGGCCTACCAGCCCCCACTCCACAGGTGCAGAGAGAGAGGCCACAAGACCCTCTGGAGACACGCCGGGTGCTGCCCCTAGACGGCAGGTGCCAGGCCCAGGCATGATCCCGGTGCCGTGGGAACCGGCAGAGTGAACAGGGTCAGCTCAGGGAAATCAGCAACAGGAAACACCAGGAAAAAACTAAGACGACAGCCGGTGTGCCTTCGGGCAGCGGGATCGGGTGTTTTCTTTCTGTTTTCCCTCCTCCCTCATGCTCAGGACACCAGGCTGTGAGTCAGTCTCGGTGGACAAGTGCCAGGTCACTGACCTGGGCTCCTGGCTGGGGCGGCCGCACCCACAGCCCTCTCGGACCGGGTCCTGGCTGGCCCAGCACACCTGTGCTTTCTCCCCACCCGATCTTCTGGGGGGGGGGGGAGCTGAGCTGGAGGAACAACCCACGGGAGCGGCAGTACCTGGGAGCCAGCGATTCGGGCTCCGTCTCGTCTCCAGGAACGTCAGGGGCCAGGACCGGAGGCTGCCACAGCCCCTGCGTCGTCACCAGGGTCCGTGCCGGCCCGTGGTCCTCGCCTCCTGTGGAAAGACGTGGCCCCCGGTGCGCGCGCGTGCACACACACACACACACACACACACACGCCTGACCCTCAGCCTCACTGTTCCTGCTCCTCAGGGGGAGGAAGTCAGGGTCAGGGTGAGGCCTGGGCCTGGACACAGTGTCTGAGGTCAGCTCCCAGCACGGGGACCTGTGGGCCACTCACCTGCCCACGGAGGCGGGTGCGCGCCCCCGAGCCCGGGGTGGCGGAGGCCTGAGGGCTCCGGTTCCGAACGCTGGAGACTCGCCCTCTGGCGCCGACGGTAGTTGGCAAACCAGTTGTAGACCTGCTCCACGGACAGGCTGGTCTCCGCGGCCAGGGCCTCCTGCAGGGACACGGGATCTGGGCCCCGCGGCGGGTGCTGGGGGGGGAGGGGTTCCCGGGGGAGGGGGTGCACGCACGACCCGGCGGCCGGATGCCCCGCAGATGGCGCTCACCCGCTCGGCCTTGCTGGGGCTGCTGCTCACGCCTGAGGCGAAGCTCTGCAGCTTCTGGCGGACATCCCTGGGGAAGTTGCGGCTCTTCAGTCCGTCAGGGCAGAGGGAGGGGGGCGGTGGGTTCCTGGGGAGCACAGAAAGGGGGGTCACCGCCTCCCTTCTCCCCAGTGCCCCTCCAGTGAAACCTCTGGCGCCCCGCACACTCTCCACTCATGGCCGCTGCTCCCCATTTCTATGCTGCCAGGTCACAGGGGCACATCCCCTGAAGGGGGGAGGGCTCCCCGGACCAAAATGGCCAAGAACTGGGGGAGCCGCGTGCGGAGGATGCCGAGTGGGTTATGCTTGGTCATTGTGGAAATGAGTTATTTTATTTTTTTAAATATATTTTATTGACTTTTTAAAGAGGAAGAGAGAGGGATAGTTAGATACATAGATGAGACACAACACACAGAGACACACACACACGCACAGACACACACAATAAACACACACACAGACGTTCGCCGCCCACCTCTTCCTGCAGCGGAACTTCTGCACGGAGGTCAGCGTGGCCACGCCCAGCCTCTTCATGGCCAAGTGGTAGTGGATGTCGTTCCAGAGCTGCACCAGCTCCTGGCTGCCTCCCGGCACCCAGCACCCCTGTGGAGAGGAGCACGCTGAGACCTGGCACCCAGCACCCATGTGAGGAAGAGTCCGCTGAGACCCAGCACCTCACAGTCTGGGCCCTGGCGGCCTCCCGGCACCCAGCACCCCTGTGGAGAGGAGCACGCTGAGACCTGGCACAGCTGGGCCCTGCCATCGCCGGGACCTGGCCTCGGGAGGAGCAGCTCAGGGACGGGACGGCCAGCGGGGCGACGCCACGTGGCCCCCCCGCCGGTCCGCACCCGGAGGCCCAGCCGGCACCCACTCACACCAGCATGTCAGCCTCCCCCGAGCTCGCGAGGCGGGCACAGCTCCGTCCTCCTTGGGGTGAGGAGGAGGAAGGGCAGGGAGGCCACGGCTGGTGACCACCGGGTGGCGGCGCTGTTGTCATTGGCGACCACATGTGTCTTCTGGGAAGAGCGGTTTCTCCTGCCAGCAGGGAGGTGGGGCGAAGCCCGGGGGACCTGTCCCAATGACCACGCTCTGGAGAGGGAAGGACGCCTGGCCCCAGCCTCCCCTGGAGCCCGTGGGTGAGTGTGTCGCCCCTAACACCGAGTTCCCAGCGCCATCTTGGTGGGGGAGGTGCAGATCGCCAGGAAGAGCGTGTGGCTGGCTGTGACTGACTCTGCCGGGATCCATCGGCCTCGGCACCGCAGTCGGGAAGCCACGGCTCTCCCTGCCGCGGGGCGGCCTGGCCTGAACCATGTGGGTTTTGTGGCGAATGAGGGAGGCTCCCGTATCCCAGGCGAGTGGCACAGATGGTTCTGGTTTCCGAGTTCTCGAGAGGCTCAGGGACAGAAGTCTGGGCCTGCTCGGCGGCTGGCTACTCGACTGGTGGCCGACAAGCCACGCTGGGACCCCCACTCCGTGAGGATCTCATCGACAGGCCGTTTCCCTCGGGTTGTAACGCTGTTCAGACCTCGGCGAGGTGAGAGGGTTCCGACGCGGCTTGTTGACAGAACCTCTCTCCCTGCGCTCTGGCCGGCGTGTGGGCTTCCCGTCGGGCTCAGGATGCCGCCCCGCTCTTTGCACCTCCCACCCCCCTCCTCGCGGGTCCTACCTCCAGCAGCCGGCAGGCGGCCTGGTGCTGCTCCTGCTGGGCCAGCACGCGGGCGCACACCAGGGCCACATCCTTGTTGTCCAGGAGGCGCAGGCGGAGCTGGCTCTCCAGCACGGCCGTGACCAGGGGCCGCGCCCGGGCCAGGTCGTCCCGCAGGTCCTGGCACAGCCTGCCGGCCAGGCTCACCAGCTCCTCCACGGGCGTGCCGGCGCCCCCGCCCTCCCGCAGCAGCTGCAGGAAGCTCTGCATCCTGGGCCGGCGTCCCTCTGCGAACAAGGCGGCAGGCGTCACGATGGCCAGCTCGGACCGGGCTGACGGGACTGGAACCCTCAGACCGGCTCGGAGCGGCCCCTCTAGCTACGGGCACAGTCAGGCATCCATAGTGAGGGGTCACTGAGGAAGGCGGGGACCAGGCCCAAGGCACTGCCCCACATTGTGTGCCCGACTGAATGGGGTGATGTCCCTCACTCCCCTGCGCCTCCCGCCCGCCCTGGGGCCCCGCTCTGTCCTCGGACCCTGGGTGCACCCGTACTTCTCTGTGTGGTGGTTAGGGTTTGTTTCCCTTCAATGGGCTCGGTGGGGCAGGGACCTGGGTGTTGGGGTTTCCCCAGGACCTGCCCTCGGATGCCAACGTCTCTCCCAGCCTAGGAGGTGCCCCAGGCCGGGGGCTGGGCAGACGCCATTTACACTCATGTCGGAGGGGCCTTGGGGCCGGGGACAGGACTAGCACCGCCTGGTTTTAACTGTTTTAATTTTTTTTGGGGGGAAACAAAACCCTCAAACGCATCATGTGGAAAGCACAGCGATGTGAAGGTGCCCGAGTCACAGACGCTGAAGGAGAGGAACAGCACCTGCGCGGGAGCGGGTGGGGCCGCCTCCCGGCCGGCTGCCCCGCTGCCCCAAAGCCTCCGTGCCCCACCCATGGGCGCTGTGGCCGGACCCCCCCGCCCCCCACCCATGGGCGCTGTGGCCGGACCCCCCGCCCCCCCCCCCCATGGGCGCTGTGGCCGGACCCGGAGGCTTGGGCGCTTCTCTTCTACACAAACCCACACACAAGCTCCCATTGAACCGCGGGACCTGGTCCGCCGGGACCACGAGTCTCCCGCCGCGGCGGGTCCGGCTCCGCGTCCGGGACAGGGCCCCGCGCCTCGGCGCCCGCGGACCGGACGGTTCGGAGCCGGTGACCGCGTTTCGGAGCGAAAACCCGGCGTCCGGGGCTGAGCTTCCGAAGGGGCGCCCCTCCTGCGGGCCCGGCTCCCCGCGCGCTGCTCCCGGCGGCCTGGTCCCCGCGGGCGCCGAGGCCCCGGACGCGGACGGCGGGGGAGCTCCGCTCAGGACCCGGGCCGCCCGGAGCCCGCGCCCCGGGAGGCGGAGGGGACCGGCGGGGGGGGCGGACCCCCTCCCTCCCCGGGGCCCCTACCTTTCCCGCCGGCGCGGCTCACGGAGGCCGAGGCTGCTCTGCGGGCGCCCGGGGTCCCCTCCCCGCCCCCCGCCCCCGCACGTGCTCGGCCGCGGCTCCGCGGAGGCGCCAAGGGGCGTCCGTCCGGCGGCGGAAGGCGCGGCCGCTACAAAGTATCGAGGCGGCGGCCCCTCCGGAGGCCCCCGCGGGGTGGGTGCCCCGGTGCCCTGGGCCCTGAGGCCCGGGGTGCGCAGGGTCCTGGGTTCGGGGGTGCCGTCTGCCTGGCTCTGGGGTCCGGGGCGGGGGCCCGGTCCGGGGGCGGGGGGAGAAGGGGGGACGTCGGGGGGGACTGGGTGCCGCTGCCCACGCGCCAGGGAGGCGCCCCGGAGGCGGGGGCGGGAGGAAGCGGCGGCCCCCGGCTGACCCTGGACTCCGGGTGGGTGGACCTTGGGGTTGGCCAGGTCCCCGCGGGCGGCAGACACCCCTTTGGGGGCAGACACCCCGATGGGGGCCTCCTGCGACCCCCGCCGGCTCCCGGCCCCGCGGGGCGATTACGCCTTTCGAACCCAGAGCCGGGGGCACGGGGGGCGCAGCGGCCGCGGGGACCAGGGCTCCTGGCTCCGGAGCGGGACCCACTGCGCCCAGTGACCCCCATCCCCACCCTGGTGACCCCCCCATCCCCACGCCAGGGCTCACATCTGGGCCCTCGCTGCCCCGGCCTGAGCGCTGGCACCGCCGATGCCCGGCCCTGCCCGCTCGGCCCCGGTGCGGGACGGAGCTGAGAGCCCAGCGTGCGGGGCGGCGGCCGATGGCGCTCAGGGGGCGGCCGGGCGTCGCCAGGAGGAAGTTCTCAGCTTCCCAGCTGCGGCCCGAGGCCCGGCCCAGAGACAGACAGCTGGTCCGTTCCCCAAGTTACTGAAAAGCTGTCCCACCGCCGCTATGGAGCGCATCCCCTCGCCTCCACTTCATGGTTTTTAGGCTTTAGTGTTAAACACATGCACACGTAGGAGTTATTTTTGGTGCTATAACACTTTTAGAATACTCTCTTTATTCTGACAATTTCCTTTGCACTGGGCATTTCCGGTGAAGGATACATATTTCCAAATGTCAGGGTTACACTAGGAGAATGGCTGGGACAGGATCAGTCTGGCCTGCACTTACCTGGCGCGGACTTTGTTGCAATTTAAGGTTAGATTTAGTTCACTTCCGTCTTTTCCGAGGTCAGGAGGTCTCCCTCCGCGGGGCCTGGGGTCGGAACCTGGAAGTGTTTGGTCTGCGTGTGCTCACGGAAGCCATCTCCTGGCCGTGCAGCCCACGTGCTTTTCCGGGGTGCAGGGATCCCTCAGCTTTCCCAGCTCCTCCATGTGAAGGCCCGTCTCAGCTCTCCCGAACCTCCTCCCACGTTCTGCAGTGCAAAGCCCTTAGTGCATTGGGGGTGGTTTTCATATACCTGAGGGGGCGGGGGGAGCAACAGGCCAGGGATGGTGTGTTCTGCGTCCTTTACCCAGCACGCAGCCTAAAATCTCAGATCGCCTCTAACGAGGTCCTTTTAACTATTGTCCACCTTCCTGACTTCCAATAGCCTCTGCCTTACACTTGGAAAAGGACCATCTTTTATTTTTTAGCTGTCTCTGACCACCTCCTACTTCTCATACGACCTTGGGGTCCCACGATGACATGCATTTTGTTATTCCATTTGGGACTTTTAAATCTATGTTCATATGACTTATAAGTCATTCTCTCCTTCCCCTAATGTCTGTTTACTGGGAAATTAAATGTTGGAATTAACTTTCCTTGAATTTTTTTTGAAAATTATCAACTATTAAGGGCTGGTTTGGAAGGACTAGGTATTATAAATTCCCACACCAGATATTAGATTTTTTTTTTTATCAGAAATTCCATTTTGTTTAATGGTTTTACACTGAATCATTGTTAAGTTTCATTTGTCTGGTAAGTTTTCCATTGTTTTTAAGCTTCAAACAAAATCCAGCACTATCCTTTCCCAGAGTAAACGATTACCTATCATCTTCTTGGTTAAATGTGGATTTGCATTACACAATACAGTAACTTCTAAATTCTAAGTGACCCTGGGTAATAGTAAATTGAATGTAGACTTTCCCTTAAGTGCTTATTCTGATTAGTATCTTCAGTGGAACATTAATGACAAATATATATTCATGGTATTTCTCAAATTTAAGGGACGTCCTTTAGCAAATATCAATATTTGAAATTATTTCTTTGTCAAAGTTTCCTTTTTCCTTCTGTGAATCATCCTGCTTCATCCTAGATATCTTGAGATTGTATCCTGTATAACAAGCTAAACACAATAAGGATTAGTCATTCAGAAATTATTAAATACCTCCTTTAAGGAAAAAACAATTTTTACAGGGGTAAAAGATGAATTCCTTCTTGAAGAAAGGAGTACAAGGTTGAGGGTCTGCTTCAGAAATATTTATAGTTTTGAATCTTCATATTCCTCCAAGATAGTCCTAATCTATTTGCCAGGGACCCAACACCTTTCAAATTAATTCTGAGTCCAATAAGAAAATTGGTAAGGTTGAGAATAAAACAGACTTTGTAAATAGCAACTGGTAGAATAATTCCCCAACACTCTGACTCTACAACTACTGGTGCATATTTCAGCATTACTTAAATGTGTTACAAAATCCCACATTAGCTAAAATAAGGGCAAATGAAGTACAATTAAAAATGAGTATAGCTCATGCTATACTGGGTAATCGCTATAGAAAGAACTAGTTAACAATCGGCAGATACCACCAGGAAAAAATAAGCTCAACTTTTCTGAAAAATCCATTAAGAATTTGAAGTCCAAAGTACTTCAGCCTACTTAGGTGATAAGGTCAATTCCTTGGCATTGCACCTTGAATGATGATCCCATTATGAATACTTATACTATCAGGAATTAGGAATTCTAAAGACATCAGAATAATCTAACCAGTTAGAAATGTACACCAGTCTCGCCAGTGTGACTCAGTAGTGGAACACTGACCTATAACTAGGAAGACAGGCTCAATTCCAAGTTGGGGGCATGCAGGAAAGAGCAAATCAATGATTCTCCATCAGTGATGTTTCCATATCCCCTCTCCCTTCCTCTATAAATCAATAAAATACACATATATTTTTAAAATGTTCACCATATTGATGTATATATCAAAAGTGGTAGCTGCCCAACCCACCTATAAAGGAAAACAAATAATATATATGTGGTTCCTATTACTAAATAAATCATACTTTTCCACTGAAGGATTTCTCACACTGACTAGATTTATAAGGATTTTCCACTGCATGAATTCATTCATGCACAATGAGTAGTGACTTCCAAAAAAAAGCTTTTCCAGCCGAGACCGGTTTGGCTCAATGGATAGAGCGTCGGCTTGGGGACTGAAGGGACCCGGGTTCAATTCCGGTCAAGGGCATGTACTTGGTTGCGGGCATATCCCCAGTAGGAGGTGTGCAAGAGGCAGCTGTTCAATGACTCTCTCTCATCGATGTTTCTAGCTCTCTATCTCTATCCCTTCCTCTCTGAACAAAATCAATAAAATATATTAAAAAAAAAAAAAAACTTTTCCACATTTACTACATTGATATGGTTTTTCTCCCAAATGAGTTCTCATGTGTATAATCAGGTATGACTTGCTACTAAAGGTCTTCCCACATTCACTGCACCCATAAGGTTTTTTCTCCTACATGAGTTCTCTGATGTGAAAGAAGCTGATCTTTCCTATTAAAAGTTTTCCCACATTATTTGCATTTATATGTATTTTCTCCTGTGTGAATTCCCTGATGTACAATGAGTTGTGAATTTAAACTGAAGAATTTCACACATTCT